TTGAGTTTTTCTCGGAATTGTGTGTGGCTCTCTCCACGAAAACGATTTCGGGAGAGGAAGGTATTTTACGAAACATGAAAAGGTACTTATTTGAGCATGTTATCTAAGAAATGCAGCAGAATGAAAATGGGTTTGAAACTCACCGGAGTTCACGAAGTGTGCCGCAAGTGGTCTGCTGCATGCCACGAATTTTGCTGTTCCGGACGGTGTCCTGATCAGTAACGGAACTTGACAGTTTTACAGAACCGTAATTCGTGTTCTCGGTGTTTTTGAAGTCAAAATCGGCTAGCCAAACAATTTTAAACAGATACAACACAGACAACACAATTGCTTTAAATATCTAACAGTGTGTTTTTTGTTCGTTGCGACAATGAACAGAGGTCGATCGCTTTAGGTGAGCCTCTCGCTTGAGGAAATGGAGTAACAGAATCGGTTTAATATGTCTACATACAGGACTTATTTGAACCGTGACCCGACAGGGAGTTCTTCTGAGCGGGAAGGGGCCTTCATTACTTCAATAACGCGGCACCTCATGAACAATATGAAAAATGCCTCAATAAATAAAGTGCCTGATAAAAGGGTTAAATTGTAAATTTAATTATAAGTTTGTTCTTCTTCATTAAACCTTTGCACATTGTCTACGGGTCCATTATGCAACAAAACTCCCTTGCTCAGGTTCAAGAGTATCAATGCAACTTTTAGAGAACAGTTACGGAACGCAACGTTTTCAAATCGCCTTCAATTTTTCAGATACCGCCCGACCATCGCTCGAGGTGAAATAGTTGTATCCTCGCGCCTGCCAACGATTTCACGTTTTATTTAGCCTAGCTCGCATTGAAAGAGTGTTCGCTGGTGCGATTCCCATTATACTACGCTCGCCCAAGATCGAGGTTACTTTATTATCATATCGCAGAGACTGCCACGGTAAATTTTAGTAGGCAATTTGACTCTCAAAAACTTTATTTTCCTCTTGATCGCGAGGTTTGAATTTACACATCAAAGCACGTTAGATATGTTTGTTAGGAGTTAATTTTAGTAATTTGCCTTATTTGTGCTAAAAGGAAAAATGTGCAGCAGGTTTACCTCCAACGTAGTTCTTTTTAGCGTTAACATGTCTCATATTTTCGTCGCGAGAATCGTGTTTTACGTAACATTTTGATCAGGAAAAATTACATATCAGAATAGATTTATTTGCACCTTGCCTACTGGTCCATTTTACATCTTTAGAGCAAGAAATATTTAAAAATTCCGGACTGACAGAGACTAAGTGATTATCCTTCTTCTTCTACTTCTTCTACCTTTTGACTAGGGCCGTGACCCTGTTTGTCAAGCCTCTAAATTGATGAATAAATGAGACAAATATGATAATAAATAAATAGATACATAAATAAATAAATATGAATAATTAAAAATAAATATGACAAATAACATATGATGGTCCCACCGGATCCAACGAGTAAAATACCATACATTACAATGAGGAAATCCTCTAAGAAAATGCGTTCAACTTGTGCCAAAACGCGTCCTATTCGAGCAGCACTAAGTTTGAGCCCAAGTTTGAAAAAAACAGAATATGCGCTCGAAAATTAAAACCCAACGAAGGGTCCATTTTACACCCGACTCTTTCTCCACAGAGACAGAGGTGGACACTCCAGATTTTCCACCTCGTATGACATACGGTAGGAGAATTCCTTACGTAGGTGGTTACACCAGACCAGAATTCAGTCCTGACCAAGAATTGAGACTGCCATGTGACGAGCAGTTAAAAAGCAATACTCATTTGGTTGAAGTAGTGGCAACTAACACGAAAGGCAGCAAGCTAATTCCGAGTTGTAGTTGTTTACGTGAGCAACCTAAGATTTATGACAGAAATCCAACACAGAGAAAACGAAGCTATTCCAGTGATAGTATTATGAGTTTCAGAAGCTTTTTCTCACCAAAAATGGCACCTATCGAAAGGATACACTCACAGACACAATCAAAAGAAGAGTGCGAAGTACGCAATCAGGATCCTGATGAGCAGCTGAAAAAACTCGGTAGTCTTCAGAGAGAAAGAAGCTCCTCCAGTGATAGTAATGAATGGTTCACAAGCTTTTTCGCGCCAAAAATGGCACCTATTAAGAAGGAGCATCCAGAGACACAATCTGAAGAGAAGAGTGAAGTACGAGGTCAAGATCTTACTGAGCAGCTGAAGAATTTCAGTAATCTGCAGGGGAAAAGAAGAGCATCTAGTGATAGTAATGAAAGTTTCAAAAGCTTTTTCGCGCCAAAAATGGCACCCATCAAAAAGATACGCCCAGAAACAGTATCACAGGAAAAGTGTAAGGCGCAGGATCACCATGCCTATGTACATTCACGCTTATATCCTCAGACAATGGTGGATGCTCCTTCTCGAATTTTTTAAGTACTTGGGCGAGTGTCATGCGCAGATTTTCTCTTGTTAACTTAAAAGTTTTGTCAACTGGCAATTTTGGATGAAGACCTCTTATCCTTGAACATCTTCGAATTGTACAGCAGTCGGAATTGTTGGTTCCGACTGTAGACGTTTGAGTCTATTACGAATTTGTTGTTAATCGTTAGTTCCTGCATTGTTTCTATATCAGCAGCCTTTCTAGGCCTCGACAATTCTTTTGACACATTTACATGATACACCGTTTACAACTAAATGATACGACGCTTTGTCTTTATATTCTGAACAGCTCCAATAAAACGAAATCTTCCTTCCTTTCCCGAAATTATCTCCAATGAATTGTATGAAGGAATTTTGCAAGATTTCAAAAGTTTCCTCTTTTCTTCGGCTTCGTTCGTTTACTTCCCATTCGACGTCGAGGTATATTTTAACATTCCTCACGTCAGGTATTACCTCGAAGAGATGAGGAAAATTACTCGTAAAATAACTCGTTCGGGCAGCTAATGATTTAAAGTATTCGTTTGAGTCGCTGTATAGCCAAAAACTCCGGGTCCCCTTGGTGTCAATTTGTCTTCCTATTAACAAGGATCCTTCGTTCCTCACCAAATGAGGTATGGCGTCCGATAGGGTTTTAAAGCCTCCGTACCTCGAAGGGAAAAAAGGAACCTTATGTTTCATAATTTTCACTTAAGTTTTTTCAATTTCCAAACCAACCGACGACTGATATTAATAGTAATATTTTTTTAATATATTACATATCACAACATACAACGAACCATTGAATATAGTAAAACATTGTTTTTTGAATATAGTCAATTACATATTATATATACCAAAACATTGAATATAAATAATTTTCCTTAAGAGAGTTTTATTTGAAAAGTTTTCAGATCCTTCGTATCATTATCGTATTTATAATGAAATGTTATGTCTCCATTAATGAACAGAAATAGGAACTCGAAAAGGATATCTTGTATCCTACTCCATACACATACGCCTCCTGTATGTGCATAGGCATGGGTGTGTAAAGTCAGTCCTACCCCTGCTAACTTTTGAACAAATTGAGGTAGGGCAATGAAACTTTGGGAATGTTCCTATCTCAAAGGGGACCATCTTTTTTTTTGTGGGGGGGGGGGGTCAAAATTTCCTAACATCTAAACTATACGAAAACATTTGCAACGCGCGAATGTTTTAGGCTAGGGGTAAAACATTTCAAAATTCAGAATCACTGTCTCCAGGCGTTTCTGAGCCCTCTGAATACATCCCCAGAAGTTTCAATATATTTCATGAAATTTCACGCATTTGAATAAATTTTATGAAATTTTCCATCTCTGTTTGCAATCGGTGAAACTGTAATCTTTATTTCCGTTTGTGACATTGTGGAGACCTAAAAAATTTCACGCGCGAAATTTCATTCGAATAAATTTCATGAAATTTTCCATCTCGGTTTGCAATCGGTGAAACTGTAATCTTCATTCCCGTTTGTGACATTTTGGAGGCCTAAAATACGGGAACCAACCGGAAACGGATTCACATTGTCATGACTTTCAGTATGGAGGGACTACAAACTGATTGCGGTAGACGCACTCAACGACAGAATGTTGGAGTTTTTTTGCCAACGTGTGTTAAAAAAATCAGCATAAAGCTGTAAATCTAAAAAGAGAGGGAAAAGCTCGTTCGAGCACAAATTTCCCTCTGAGAGATATACTGTTTTGAGCAACACTAGTTACGTCCATTCAGGGAGGCAACTGCAGACGCGTATCTCTCAGAGGGAAATTTGTGCTCGAATGAGCTTTTCCCTCTGTATTGAGATTTTCAGCTTGATGCTGAATTTTTAACGCACGTTCGCAAAAAAACTCCAACATTCTGTATGAAGGGACTCCAATAGAACAGTCCCAATGGACCACTAGACAAGGTACGAATTTAAGCAATCTGATACATGTTTCTTAAGCAAAATTTCACGTAGAACACGGTTAGCGCAACGAATATTACTGAAACTAATTCCTATCGAAGATTTCAACGTTTTTATTTCACATTGGTTACGAGGAATTTGAACTGCCCGCTCACAAGAAACTCAAAGCTCTACTCGAGTCAAATCGCGCATTACAACGGTTTCAGCAAGCTTCTCCATCGAGCAATGTTCATTTCCCATCCACAAGAAATTTGCTATAGCTGAGCCAAAGCGTCAAGATTGAGGTTTCCAGATTTTTATATTGCAGAGACTATCAAGATGGAAGTTAAGCGCGCGACGTGAGACACGTAAAGTATTGAGTTTTCGTGAGCGGGCGGTTTGAATTCACGCATCATGAATCATTGAATATCTTCGTAAGGAGTTGATTTCGGTTACCTTTGGTATGCGCATCGCATTCTACGTGAAATTTTGGTTGAGAAACATGTATCAGAATGCTGAAATTCGTACCTAGTCTAGTGGTCCATTACGACCGCCGCACGGCAACCCGGTCGGCCTTGCATCGGGGTGCAGCGCCCCCTCTCTCCCCTTTATCCGGGGGGGGGGAGCTCCGGGCGCGGGACGAGATGCGCCGCAGAGACCAGCGAACCCGAACCCGCCCGAGTACGTTGATCACGACAACGTGATCGGCGTCGAGATTGGCGGCCCGTAGTATCCTCCCGAACTCGCACGCAGCCCGACGTTCTTCCCTCCGAGAAGTTATTCTCGTCAACTGCAATCTGTGCACTCGTCCGCTCGAACCGGTTTTCGCGTTGTTTATTTTCTTTTTCCTTTTCGAGTCTCTCCGTCCTTGCTTTCGTTCCTCGGTTCGTTTTCGGGTCTTGCCGTTCGGGGGTCTCGATGTCTCGCCCGGGGAGACTCGGTTTTTGATGGTGGGGCTCCCTGACTCAGATCCGGTTTGATTTATCGTCTCAGCGATGGTGTCAATTGTGAGTACCTTCCTCAGTCCAATTTGATGTGTCGCACGGTGGAGCCAGTCAATCGGAGAGGTTGGACGTCAAATTCTTGACTATCACTGCCAATTTTGACGTTTTTTTTAGTCACATTTAAAATTTTAAGGGGTGCGTTGCCCCTCAAAGAAAATTTCACGAGGAGACCAATGGGACCACTTTTAGAACCTGAAATTTTCGTATTGACGGAGTTTTGAGCCTTTGAGGTTTCCGAAGTCCGACCTCTCCCATTGACTTCATCCATCGTGTGTCGCAGGCAATCAGTGAAATCAGGCATTTTATCCAAATGCCCAAGCGGATTGTCAAATTTGGACAGGTAGAGAAACTTAGTAAGTTTATGATGAAGAACTTATGACTCACGACTTCACAATTTTTTTTTTGGGGGGGGGGTACCATATTGTACCCACGGATTCTTTCTGTTTCTTCCCTTTCGAGCGCTTCTAAATGTTAAATTTTCGAAACTTCTTTTTTATTCCTTGCTGAAATGTTCAATGTTCGTTCAGGAGCTGAAAATCGTCTAAAGCACTTTTGTATGATGCTCAGTTTTACGGACAATTCTTTCCCACATGAGCAGTGCATTACTCTGTCTAACATTACGAAGAGAATCAGAATTTCAATTTAAGCACGCACATTTCACTATCTGCCTTGGCATCTGACAAGATTTACTGTCTTTCTGCGACGGATATGTGACGACCAAAAAGTGGGAAACAAGGTCTAAACAACTGTCAACACGGGGCATTTCGCCAGGTGGGCTTGGCCATCAGCAATCGCTGGGAAAAAATTCAAAAACTGAGCAATAAATATCTCTGAAGAGAACGTTTGTGCGGATGTGTTTGAAATATTTAAGAGTTTGCTTCGCATTATGCAGCAAATTCACTTACATTTCCATAAAAATCCGCACAATCGTTTTCAGAGCATCCTAACGTTCCAACTGAGCAATTAAATATCTTTGAAGAGAACGTTTGTGCCGATTTGTTTGAAATATTTAAAGAGTTTACTCCGCACTATGCAGCAAATTCACTTAAATTTCCACAAAAATCCGCACAATCGTTTTCAGAGCATCCTATCGTTCCAACTGAGCGATTAAATATCCATGAAGAGAACGTTTGTGCTGATTCGTTTGAAATATTTTAAGAGTTTGCTTCGCACTATGCAGCAAATTCACTTATATTTCCACGAATATCCGCACAACCGTTTTCAGAGCATCCCAACGTTCCAGGATTCAGCAACACGCACTAGCGTCTGCGATTCGTCCAATCAAATCGGGTTAAGGTCTGGATCCTAGTTTCCACCGACAGCATGTACTTGGAGCTCGGTGATTAAAACAACCCCCGGCGTGGATTCGAGTTTCATCAGTGGCCAGGCGTGAATAATTGACTTTCGATATTTTCCCCATTTGAACCCATGGTGTAGAATCGATTATCGAGGTGTTCGATGTCAACACCCTTTTCATCGATCTTTTTTCACTGGTTTAAATGGCAGATCATCGATACCATCGATACATGCGGGAAGCGGGAGGGATTGTTAATCGTGCAAGTTAAGGACGAAAATCTTCTCCTGACACTTCAGAGGATTAACCCTGATCAGGAACGACTGTGTTTCTTCTCTAACTGTTTCCCGAGTTTTTGTCAATTTGTACAGGGATGCTGTCTACTTCCAAGATCTTTATCAATGGAGTTGTTGCATTTGTGAGGAATTTGCGATTTGACTGTGTATTGCTGATGGGTGAGATTATAAAGGAGAAGAAAATAATAATACAGTGATCTCTCTCTATTACCAGAACTCAAAGGACCCGACTAATTTCTTCGCTGTAGAGAGGTGTTCTCGTTTAACAATAATAGATCAGAAAAAGACCGACCTGCTTCGATAACAATGGAGATGTTGCATGTGTGAGGAATTTGCGATTTTACTATTGATTCTTATGTAAAAGTTCGCGAGAAACACGATGGTGCTACTGGTTTTCTCTGAAATCATTTCCCAAGCTCAAAAAAAGCTCTCAAAGTGAGACCAAAATGGAGGGGATATCCCACGCTATCCTGAGAGTCCACTCCTACTTCAAAACAAACTCTCCATGCAAAGATAGGGAGCAAATACATCAGCAGCGATGCCGTGTTTTCAGTTTTAGATTCCCCAAATAAAGTGGCAGCCCTGTCAATGTATTTGCTCCCTAACTTTGCATAGAGAGTTTGTTTTGATGTAGAGGTGGACTCTCAGGATAGCGTGGGGTATCCCCTCCATGTTGGCCTCAACTTGAGAGCTGTTTTTGAGCTTGGGAGTTGATGTCAGAGGAAACCAGTGACCACATCTTGTTCCTCGCGAACTTTTATATAAGAGGCAATAGTCAAATCGCAAATTCCTTACACATGCAACAGCTCCATTCGATGCTTTACTCAGAAATTTGGGTTTTATCAAATTTGAAGTATGAATTGTATGAAAAAAAAAAAGTCAGAGCACTCTAAGAAACAGAAGTTGACAGATTCTAAGACCATAATTGCCAAAATGAGAATCGTGGCCTGGAAGGAAACAAGAATTAACTGTTAAACAGTTGGCGACCGTATTCGGTCAAAGGCCAAAGAACCCCCGATCACGTCTTATTAGGAGCAAAACTAAGCTCGTCGAGCAAAACTGAGGAAATTTTAAAAACCTCGCATTCCTAGCTCGTGGGGCTTGCGACGTCTTAAGGGGCGGATGATCGTTCACAAGCAATTTTCTCCAAATGCTCAGATCGAGTCCTGAACCAAAAGTGTGAAGCTTTCAATCGCGCATCGGTGGGTGTAAATCTCAATTTATCGTCGCACTTTAAACCTCGCCTACTTCTTAAGGGTCCCCAGATAGATGGTTTTTAACCTGATGATTGCACCAATGCACTACTCGGTCTGACATCATTATTAATCGGGTGCCCCTCTCGGAACGCACATTTATTTTTCAAGCAAACCACCCAGGCTCCCGATTCTCTCTGTAACGAGCAACTCTATCCTTTGCAGTTGAGCATTATTCCAGGAAGCCGAGTCTCTGCAACTTGATTGGTTTCCCGTTTCCCGTAATTTAGACGCGGATCACTGTTTTGGCCCCGCACTCGTGGACTTGACTTTCAGAACGAAAAGTTCCAAGGATGATTTACCTTTATGAAGTTTTTTCATCTGCAGAATATTTTTATCTACTCCCCGTCAGCTAAATCGTATCTCATGCTGCATGCAGGTAACCGTCGATATGAACCTGCAGGGAGCCACGAGTAGTGACTCTTTCCTACCCTTAGTTTTGTTCTCTTGGAATCATTATACTTCGAATAATATTTGAATCGTCAAGTATATTAGGGGTCAAGCGTCAATAATGATAATTCGAGGAAAGTGGTAATAACCGTTTTAATTGTGACCCCTTTTAAATCTCCGAGCTCTCAAATATTAAAGTAAAGAATTGCTTAATCTGCAATTTAAAACGGATTGTTTCATACATTTTCTATTGGTTTTTTTTCTCGTATTTTTATACCTGGCGCTTGAGCCCTTCTGTAACTGATCGATTCAATTGTCGTTTCGGATCCTCACGTCCGTCTTTCGGTTTTTAGAATGGAGGAAGAAATTAAAAACTTAATCAAAACTTTCGGCCACTGTCGTGGTAGATGTCGTGCGCGTGATTTGTATTGCTTGTTCAACAAAATCTATAATAAGAATATGTTAAACGAAAATAGCCCAAATAATTTAACGTAACCAAATACAAGTAACATAGAACGCAAGGTTGAAATCGAACAGGATGCCGGGGACGTTTCAGGGTGTTTTCAACCACCTCCTCGACCAGGAAACAAAAATATATCCATTTACAAACCCTTCTGATTCCCATAACAATTCATGGAAAAAATTACATTGCTGATACAACAATTTAATTGCTACAAAAAGTGACTGCAATGTTCCAGTGTAGATTTTACTACAAAACCATGCTACTTTAACCACCCTAGAGGTTAAATTAGCTTACAGAAAGTAGCATTTTTTTGCTGTGAAATCCACTTTGAAATATTTCAGTCACTTTTTTTTAGGAATTGAATTGTCAAGTCAGCCATTGAACTTTTTCGTGAAGATTTTGACTGATTGAAACTGATTTGTAATAACAAGAAAGCGAGGCATCTCTGATCTCTAAATTTACGATATTGGCATCAGCTCATCTGAAAAGGAGCTCAGCTCAGTGCACTTTGCAGCTTTTATCTTGCCTAACAACAAGGAAAAAGGGGTAGAATTCACAATTGTTTCAAGAGTTTTACCCAATATTTATATCTGATCGTCCAATAACCCAACCATACCTTGGCCGATGAGCCTTTGTGTTCCAAACCCCAGTAATTTCTCTGCGAGGCGATACATTTTACGCTGTCATGCCTTATCTCGGATCTCGCCGCAGTTGTAATCTCGGGAAACTGTCGAATCTCGTCCCTCGACGTCCTCTTGGCTCCCAAACTTGGTATCCTCAGACTTTTGCTCTCACCGAACTTTTTCTATTCTCTTCTCAAAAGCTTAATTTATTCAGGGAGTCTTTTATTTCTTGGCATCGCCGGAGGGTCAAGCTTTTTGCCAAGACGGCTTTTTCAGCCAGGTCAAGTGCCTCATCGCAGAATCCTTGTAAAAACTCGGAAGTAATTCTACTCGATTCCCCTCGTTTTCCAGATCTAGGTTTAATCGGGAAAATCTATTTTGTCATCATATTCGCGGTGACAATAAATCGGCGAATATTCTAGGATTTCCTTAAATCAAATGAACGGACCGAGCGTGGAATATACTATCAAAATCCGTGCTGAGTTTCGAGATTTACTGATATGTATCAGTAAATCTCGAAACTTGTCTGTATGATGTTCTCTACGATCTCCTCAGTAAGATGTGCCTCTACAAACGAACTTCTTAACTGCCGATTTCAAGAAAATCTGCCCCCAAAAGAGCAGTTTTTCCTAGTTGTAGACCCAATTTCAAGTAGAAAATTCAGATGTTGCAGAAGCAAGCGCC